CCATGTGAATTGTTTTTTTTTTTTTTTTTTTTGTTTTGTATTTGTACAAAAAAAAAGAAGATAAAATAAAATAAATAAAAGGGATAGTGGGATGACGGTGTGGTGTGAAAGTGGTGTTGTTTGAATAATAAAAAAATAAAATGGGTCTCTTTATGCATGTGCGTGTGTGTTGGGATGTGGAGGTAAATAAAAAAAAATATATAGATAGAAAATAAAAGAAAATGGAAGGGAGTGGGAACACACAAAATAAATATATATATATATATATATATATTTAAAGTAAAAGAAAGTTGAGTGGGGGTGGTGGGTGGTGAAAACAATTATGGTGTGGGGGACAAAAGCGGCTAAGTTGGTGGGTTGGATAGAGAGAGAGAGAACTTCGAGATTATAAAAATCATTATAAAAATCTCCAAGCCAAAGCGAAAGCATTATAAAAATCAACCATCCTCATGGGACCAAATCAAGAACTTGCTGAGCTGCAAGCAGATGGAACAATCAAAAGTTCACGACCCATCAAAGACCTCTGGTGGGTATGCGAAGTTGGGGTCTTGTAGTTCGATATGTAGCTGCAGGGACGTGGTTCATGGCAACACATGCAGGGTGGTTCACAGAGCCGATAACTCGCCTGAAAGTAGCTCGCTGGACAAAAGCCGATAGCTTGCTGCAATTGTTGAGAAATAGCATCCCATCTTAGAAAGCGAAGATCTGGAGGTCGCAGCTGGAAATGGTAGGTTTGATTGGGTCGCTGGAAGTTAAGGTTTGGGAGGTTGGGTCGTTGGAAGTTGCAGTTGGAAAGACCGGGTCAGCGAGAAGATGATAAATGTGATGATGGAGGTAAGGCAGCCAATGGTGGTCCACGGTGGTTCACAACGGTTGACGACGGTGGAGCAACAGTGGTTCTCCGTCTGTGTGTGTGATGGCCGAGAAGAGGACTGGTGTGAGTTGCTTGCTGCTATGGCTTCTATGGGTGGTGGTGAGGATCGGAGTCTCTGCAAAGCGAGGGACTTGAGGCGAGTTCGAACACCAAGAGAGAACTGAGAGACTAGCCCATGTGTGTGTGTCTGTCTTTCTCCCTGAATTTTAATACACACAGAGAGAGTTGAAGATGCAGCGGAGTGAAGGTATGTGTAGAAAACTCCAGCGGGCAGTGAAGGCAAGGTTGCCGGCCGATTGCCCGCCGGTGAGAAAGAAATATAGGCCTAAATCTTATAGCTCTGATACCATGTAAGATTTATGTATAAAGAAAGAGAAAGAATTGTGTATTGAATGTACATTATATAGGAGATGTAAAGTGGAGATGGAGTGGTGGAGTAGGTGAAGTGGAGGTGGTAGTGGTGTAGTGGGTTAGGTTTAGTGGAGTAGGTTTAACAGATTTATTTCTAGAAAAATGAACTACAAATGTATTTTTTAAAATAGACCATCTATTTTTAGTGAAAAACTCGATAAATTGAATAAGTTAACCCTTTTTTTTTTTAATGTGGAAGATATAAATAAAAAGCCCAACAAAATCTTTCGATGGGATTTCACAATCTCTTCAAGCCTCTCCTCAAAAGAGACTGTTAAAGAGAGAACTTTTAAAACAGAGAACTTTTAATCAAAATTTTATATGTAAGTTCAAGTTTTGATATTATGTATATATAACAAAGAAAGAAAGGAAGGAAAGAAAAATGAAAAAGGAATAAATTAAAGTACCTAGACGGCCTTCTAAATTGGGATCAATTTAATTGTTGGTTATGACACTTGTTTTTAATGAAGAATGGCTTATAAGGTTCATCTAGACTAGTTGACGAATTGACCGATTCAATTGGCCGATCTAGTCCAAATTTTAGAACATTGTAATCTAAAAAGCATGGATATGAATGCAGACACGTTAATTTCAAAAAATTGGAGACATGAATGCAGTAACAAAATAATTTTTTTCATATACTTTTATTTGCTATGTAGATTAATATTACATCTACAAGCAATAAAAATTTACAAAAACTAGAACTAATTCAATATTTTTAAATTAACACTTATCGTTTATATATTTTTTATGAATGATCTATTAAGTATTTAAATTTAAGCAAAAATGAACAAATATTCAATATCTATCAAAAGCACTAAAAAAATGGAGGGGGGAAACTAGTTGATGTGTTCCCAAAGTGTCCTAAGGTAATAAAGGGATGTGTCCCCAAAGTGTCCTGAGGTAATAAAGGGACATGTCACGTGGTGTGTCCCATACATATCCTCGCGTTCAACACGATTATAGCACTTAACGTGTCCCTGTGTCACACAGTTATGGAACTTCTTTTTTTTTTTTGAAGTGTTGGGGCTTCATAAATTGTAATGTCATCAGAGAATATAAAATAAAACAAATGCAATATAGGAAGAGAGAAATTGAGGCCTTTCCCTTGAAGAAGTTCCAACTTTTAACTGCTAATAATAATTGATTAATATTCAAAAGTGCTGCATTCATTCATTGAAAAAGGAAGAACAAATTGAATTTTGCAGCTTTTTTCTTCTTTTTTTGGGAAAATGTAAGAGATGAAACCACCATGAAAAACTATTAAAAATCCTACAGAATAAAGTGTATCAGAAGAAAATTCAAAACATTGTTCAATATTTTTAGTGTGTACTTTCAAAAGACACTGATTTAGAGTAAACTGTCAATAAGCATATTTCAAAAACCATAGAGCCTGAAAGTATATATCAATAACCATAAAACCTTCAAGAAAGCCGATTCCTTTGATTAGTTGCACGCTGGAGTTGATATGGAACTAGACTCAATAGCTGGAAATGCAGTTGAGACGTTGCATAGTGATTTCTCACCGCATTCGCCATCTGATTCAAGCAAATTGCACACACAAACAGTGCCATCAGTTAACTCCAATGCAACTGGTTCGGTTTGTTTGGATTCGAAGCAACCACTAGTGGGTATACGCCATGACTTTAGGAAAGAACTGTCATGACCTGAACCAGCCCCTAGAGGTTTGGATCATAACCGGCCAGTAATCATAAGATTACCTACGACCTTAGACAGAAATCAAATCATATTTAAACATATGGGGCTAGAAGCGGAAGCAAAATTAAAAAATTTTGTCTAATGAGCTATGTATAAATGGCATAAATAGAAATTTCTTATATATTAATAACTCACACTCATATATAGACATGAAAAGATAACATATGTTCAAGATCTTTCAAACATCAATGTCATACAAACCAAAACTTAATAGTGGTGGTCGCGGGTCGGTTGCGGCCACAGAACCTCTAATTCGCCATCCGTCTGCCAGATTGGTGGATTGAAGAAAATTAATCCACATCCGTCTGCCAATCCAGCAGATGCGGATTGAGCGGATTGGCAGATTAGCGGATGGATGCGAATCAGTTTGGCAGTTTAAAATTTTACAAATTTTCCGATTCCATTCTGCATTAAAAAGTAAACCACTTGGAAAACTAATTTTGTATCTCAAGTTGGGAAATGGCCACTGATAAATGACAGCAAATGTTTGGCAAATTTGAAAATAGAAGGAACTATGCAATTACTAGGCAATAGAAAATACAACTTTCCATAATACGTCCATATATTCATATATTAACATATATATAAGCAAAATGAAAAATAGAAATCAAAAGCAGTAATTCTAGTGGGATTGAGCTATGATTATCAATTATGCACATTTTTCTGAAGATAAAATGCAGAAATATTACATTTAAGAAACAAAATTCACCATAGCAATGAAAGCCAACTCCATCACAACAATTTTTTCTCCTTGTGAAAAATCATTAAGACAATTTAAATGGTCAAAAGTTCAGAAAAGATGCACCTCCGAAAGCAGCTCATCCGGCAAGAACTGATGTATAAGTGCTGGATCAACAAATGTTTACTACTTGCACTCCAAAAAGAAGGGACTGGTCTTACATGAACTCCATAAAGATCTGGGATTTAAAAGTAAATAAACATAAAAGACAATGAAAATTCAAAACTATTTACTTTTTCAAAGAATAACTAAGCCTATAACAAATAAAATCCTCATTGCATTAGCTAAATGAGAACATTAAAAAGAGGGCTTGATATAGAACCTTTACCAAGCCATGGCATTTGTGTTACAAAGAACTGTGCAATCCTCAGCTGTGAAGCTGCTTCAAGCTCCGTTGGAATTTTCAAAGCAAAATCTGAAAGGGCCATAAACATTGATTCAATATGAATTAAATTAACACATACCACATAAAAATAAATAAATAAATAAATAAAAACCTATAAAATTGAATGAATTTGACTTTAGGAAATTAAAAAAAACCCAGATCAAATTACCGCAAATATTGACCATTTGGTCAATACCCATGTTAGGTTTTATTTTTGGCAATCCCGTTTGACAAAACTCCTTTCAGTTGTATTTATTTTCGCACTTTTATTTCAGTGAGGCTATAAGTGTTTAGATGCGAATCCAACCCGAATTGTTCCTTTCAGAGAAGTTTGTGATGCTAATGCTTTCAACATTACCCCGCTCGAGCGGAGAATCCCTGGTTTCAGTAGTTTTGGTCGCCTGCAAAAGTACTGAGATGTGTGACTTCGCGCTCGAGCGGGTTCTCTAGCGCTCGAGCGGACCTCTGTTATATTTTGCGCATATTTTGCTGAAGCCGCTCGAGCGGGCTGTTGGGCGCTCGAGCGGAGATCGCGGGACAGATTCTGTAAATTCGCGTGTTGGGTCAGATTTTAGGATTACTACTCCAGATCTTCTTTTTGGGTTTTAGGGTTTATATTTGGGGATACTTTGTGAGTTTTCTTTGATGTTTTGATTGAGTATTCAACTCATGTTTTAAAGAGTATACATCAAAGGTTTTGTTTGTTCTACAAAAGAGAGAGTTATTCTTCGGTGGATTCTGAAGAATTCGAGCCTGAAGCTTTGGTGGATTCCGGGGTGGCTCATCGTAAAGACAATTCCGAGGTGAAGACGGGTTGGAAGAGGCACATAGAGGTTGGTTCAATTAGGCGTGGATTCGCTAGGTAATTGAGAGTATACCTGTGTAATTCCTTTGAATCTTCTTAGTGGATTGTTTTGTGGCTGTTGCCCGTGGTTTTTTAATCACAGTTGGAGGTGTCCAATTGTGGTTTTTTCCACGTTAAAATCGTTGTGTCTCTTTGTCTTGATTGTTTGATTGGGATTGTTATATTCTGCTTAAAATTGATACATAATCACAAATCAACATTTAGGAGATTTCTAGATTTTTCAACCCAGATGGTAAAATCCAAAGAATCGATCGAATTCGTAGAAATAATAAAAGGAAAATCGTAATTTCGATAAATATTTGCATTAAAACAGAGGTGTATGTGAGGGGAATTACGGTAATTATAGGAACTCGAAAACCTACCTGAAGTCAAAGAGGGTATCACGATGGTGGTTCTTTCTCAGAGAAGAACTGGCACGAATCTTCATTTCTTGAACATTTTCCTGAGAAAATTAGGGAAATAGAAATACGAGGTACGAAAATAGAAACCAGTTTAATCAAGCCCATTGCAGAACACGGAACATAGGTTAAGAAGAAAAAAAGAGAAGAAGAGAAGAGAAGAGGAGAAGATAAGGAAAGAGAAGAGAAGAGAAGAATACTTTCCAATCGAGGCTCCGATCGTTGCTCACTGCTACTATCGTTGATTGTCACTTGCCGTCACTGTCGCCAATCTCCGAACGTCGCTCGCCAGTGTTCAAGTAAGAGAGAGAGAGAGAGAAAGAGAGAGTCAAATGAAGAACCTAGGGCAACAAAAACGTGAAATGAAAAATGAGGGCAAGACAAAGGGGGAAGGCGGAAAATATGGCTGTCGGGCAGGTCGGGTACAAGAATAAAAGTGGAGGATAATCCGCCACCCGACCCGAATCCGCAAAACTAAAAATTTTAGGCTCGCATTCGTCCGCCACCTGTCACGCATCCACCCAAAACACGTCACGTCGGGTCGGGTTGGATGGATTTGGCAGGTTGGGCCATTCGCTGCGCAGCCCCCTAGAACTTATACACAAAAGTGGTCGAGATGACCAACAAAAAGAAACAGAAAAATCAAAAGACAGAGAAACACAAGTTCTACTCGTGAGGCGTTCATAACAAACTTCACAAACTTGGTATCCTTCACAAGTTCACAAGGGCTGGGGCTGGACATCCTGCTACTCACCTACATACATATATATAACGAAGTGAGCAAAAACCCAGTAAATAACATCAGAGTAAGGGTGTGTTTGTTTGGACGGACTGGATAAGGAAGGATTGGAATCCATTAGATTGTTAGTCCTGTGATATATTGTTCCCGGACTATTTGGTTGGACTGGATTTGTATCTCATGTTTATTTAGTCATGGGATTAGATATCAGGAAATGACTATTTGGTTAGATACGATATGAATCCTATGTTTGTTTAGGATATTATGGAAAAGGATAAATTTTCAAATGACTATTTTACCCTTTTCAATTATTTTCTAAGTAATAGCAATATTAAACATATCTTTAATATTTTAATTATTTTTAACTAGATTAAATAAAAATTTATTTTATTTTATTTTTTACACAATTAAATAATTTTATTTTTTAAAAATAAAATAAACAAAATATCAACAAAAATGTGTTATTTTTTTAATTAAAAATTTAAATAAAACATCTATTAAAATTTAAATAATGAAATTAAATAAAATATAAACAAAATTTTAAAATAAAATATCAATAAAATATCTATAAAAAATTATTTTAAAAAATTAAATAAATAAAACATCAATAAAATTAAATAAAATTGTTTTATTTTTAAATTAAGATATTTAAATTTATTGAATTTTACTAAATATAATACATAATTAAATAGTAGAGGATCAAAATGGTCATTTCACCACCTAATCCCATATCCCCCCTTATCCCTCCATTTGTGTCCCACCTCTCTCTCTCTCTCTCTCCCCCCAAAATCCCCAATCTCTCTCTCTCTAGAAAACAAGCCAAAATGCGTGAAATTCTTCACATTCAGGGAGGCCAATGCGGTAACCAAATCGGATCCAAGTTCTGGGAAGTGGTCTGCGATGAGCACGGCATCGACCCAATCCCTCAAAACAAACACCACCTAAGAGGGTTATGTAAATGAGTTATATTAATGACATAAGCAATTCCATATCATAAACAATTCGTAATGGAACGACCTTGGGTCCATTGTCAGATATTCGGAACGACCTTGGGTTTAATTCAGTTATACAGAACGATCTTAGGTCCATCATACACATTCGTGTCATATCAATTACATTTACAGATATAATGTTGATCAGACAGATAGGAACTCATTCATTCTTACAAAATCATCAGTTCGGAAAACATACCACAGTAGGATATACAAAAAATATAGTAATTAAGAAAATATCTTTATCAAGATATTACTCATAGTGATTCGGTTGTTAACTTGTCCTTGTGGATGATCTTACACAATCATAACATAGACACGTTGAATCACATCGCTTAACCGAATTGTTCTTTAACTTATTCAATTCTCTTAGGCTTCATTCTAATTCATTTAGGATGTTCAATTCGTGCCTAAGAATGCTCATAAAGGAATGAGAATGCACAATTGATCAGAATGTCTTTTCAAAATATGTTAAAACAAAGCACTTTGATCGAGCGCAACATTAGTCGCTTGAGCGAACCATTTGGTCTGCAAAAGTACTGGATGGTCCGAATCTAGATTCGATGTTCGTTGAAGCCAAGGTGCAAAATAAAAGGCGATCACTCGAGCTGTGACCTGGTCACTCGAGCCAACTGCAAGTATCTGCAAAAATACTGGATGTATGAAATACGTGCTCGAGCGACGGATTGTTCGCTCAAGCGGTGAGATAGAATTCTGGAAATTCCAAAACAGAGTTGAGCTTCAAAGCTTACATTTCAACACAAACTCTTGCATAGCTTGTAATCCACTTCTCAAAGACTTAAAACTCTTCCAAAAACATGAATACAAAACCAATTTTCAAAAATCAAAACTCAAGGCTTAAAGAATTCTTCAAAATGAAACCTAAATCTTCATGCATGTTGATTCTAATTTCAAATTCTATTCCAAAGCTTCAAAAACATGCAATTCACTTTCAAAACCTTGTAATTCATGCATGCATGTACACTTCATTTTCCAAATTCAACATGGATGAGATAATTATGCTAGAAAATTGGTGAAACTCAATTAAACTATGCATGCATGTATGAATTGCCTTTAAATTCCACAATCTTAGCTTAATTCTTGTACTCAATCACATAATTCTCTTGAATTCACATATGAAATAACTTAGCTTCATAAATTAGGGTTCAAAAGCTTACCTAGGGTCTTCAATTGAGCTCAATTTAGCAAGTTCTTGAGTTGTCTTCCTTAGTTCTTCAATCCTTAAGCAAAATTCTTCAAATTCAAGCTCTTTCTTTCTCTATAATTGAATTCTCTCTCTTTAAAGCTCTCTATCTCAGAATTTTTGAGCTCAAATTTATGATTAATGCTTTAAGTTCTCAATTACAACATATTTATACTTGAGGATTAGATTAGGGTTTTAATCAAGGCTTAAGATTAACTAATTCCACTTAGTTCTAATTAGTTTAATCTAATTAATTTGGACTGAATCAAATTTTAATCAAACTTTCTAATAGGCTCTAAAAATTATGTTGATCACAATAATTAACCAATTTCGGTTTCTGAAACTATTAAATCCTTCAATTTTCAAATCAAAGCAAAAATCATAACATATTTTCCCATGATCAACAGATATAAAGTCAAAAACATAGTAATGACATATTTATCACTCAAATTCACACTTAGCACATAAGCACATGCACAATTAAGGAATTAAAAATATAATACAGAACGCGGTTGTCATAAGAACAATAAGAAGAAAGAATTAAAAATGAATATTAGCACAAAACTTAGATATGAAACTCAATGCATATGTACGAAATATGTCTTGAATATCATTTTTTTTTCCTTTAAATTTAATGACTAAAATATCGTTTCCTGTCAATTTTACTTAACAAAAATAGGTGGATGGTTTTAATTGAAAATTGGAAAGTTAGTAATACCTGGTGCTGGATGGAAGATAAGTAACAGGATTAATCAGGCATCGTGGCCGGAGATCTGAAGCACGAAATATGCACATAGTTCCATCCAAAAAGGCAATGTAAACCAACTGGCTATTGCATGAAAATGTTTCATGTGAGATTTGAGCCGACATCTCCAGAATCAGCCACCAGGAATACAAAACATATTTTATTTAAATATAAAAACAAAAACAAAACAAAAACAAAAAGTGTCAAATTATGGTATGTGCAAAATAAAGTTACCTGGACAACACATTCAAACTTGATACAACTTTCAACTCGTGCAAGGCAAGGAAGTGTTTCTGATCTTGGTGAAACTGAACCTCTGTTTCTCGCAGTTTCCTGGTTGATCTTCTAGGTGGAAGCTGCAATAAGCAGCTCTTCTTACTTATCCATTTATTGCACTGCCACACAATTAGCTGCCAAATAAATAAATAAACAGTTAGAGAATTATGCCTTTGGGGAGAGCTTAGAAAATTAAATTGTCGAAGTTGACAAAATGTTAACCGAGTCATGTGTTCCAGCAGAAACAAGTAAATTACGCAGAGAGGAAAAGGCAAGGTCGGTGATCAGTTTAGAGTGATTCTCCTGCTTGGATTTAACCTTCAACACGATGAGGTTAAAAAATTTACTTATCGTTTGCATTATCCATTTATAAAGAACCATTGAATCTACACATAAACAAACTAAGAAAATTGTACCTCATTTGCACGGGCATCATATATTAGAACTGTCGAATCATCCATGCCAATGGCAATTATGTTGTTATTATAAGGATAGATGGAAACGTACATTGGCATAGACGGTGGATGCATAAAAGTCGCCATTGTCTGTGATGTTTCAACATTTAGGAAAGATCAATCTACTCTAAATAAAAATAAGGTTGTTTTTACAAGAAGCTTGAGAACATCTTTTAATAAAGCCCATATAGAAAAATAGAATACTTAAAACCATATAAAAGCACTTGAAAGACATACGATACCTCAAATGTTTCTATGTTGAATAAGGAAACTTGACCCCCAGATGTTGAAATGATTTTAGAATCATTTTTGGACAAAGCTAAATACATTAGTTAAGTCATTTGTCATTAATATCCTCAATATTGGATGCCATAATTGATGGGGATTCTTCGTCGTTGCTTGCATCAAGACAAACTTCAATTCTCAACATAACAATCATGAATTAATATTTGAATTCAAAGCAAAGCGTGCATGCATACAAATGAATGATGTAAATTTTATTACCTTGGCATCATGTGTTCACCTCCAAAGAAAATGGATTGCATTTGATTCTAATGCTAAAATGGCATCACTGGAGGAACTGGTATATGTCAACTTCAAGACCTGAATTAGTTAGTAGAGAAATAGATGAGAAGTACTAGCCTTTATTTCTCAAAAACTAAGAAGCACGTACACGACACTGATACAACACGGACATGCCACCTTCTTAGAAGTGTCCGTGTATCTGATATTCCAATATAGAATGTTGTTGAAACAAAGGTGCAATTAAGGTAATCAAAATGTAACATTTATAGGATCATTTTGTATCTAAAATGAATGAACAATGATTGAACATATCTACACTACAATAATTAGTGAATCGCACCTTGGACTTTTTGACAAAACTAGGAAGTAACAAGGACTGAAGTTGAGCATGTTCACTAATTTCTTTGATCTTCGACGCCTTTGTTGGTTTGACAACTTCAATTGTTTTAGGAACATCCACTGAGCTCCTTTCATCCCCATTCTATAGTAAGTCCAAGTTTTATATTACTTCAGAAGTGATATCAAATATAGATATAAAGACATGGAATACATGTAAAATGAATGAAATATGACAGATTGTGAGAACAAAGAATACACTTAATATGAAAATATACCAAATGGAGAAACATTATGTGCACAATATAAATAAATATTTATATAACCACATCTTTAATTTTGACAAGAAATTTTGTTTAGTGATATAATGAACTAACCTTAGTTGCAATAATGGATACATGCATTTCATAAGCTTGCAATGACTGAATTCCATTGAGCGTTCCTAAGATTTTAATTCTGTTGTTTCTCACAAATGCATCCAGTAACGTGTCATCCTTGTTGAAGCATATGCATGGAGTTTCCTTATGATTTAAGGAGAAAAAAAAAACAAAACAAAAACCAAAAACAAAATTAAAAAAAAAAAAGAAAAGAAAAGAAAAGAAAGTGAATTGGAGTACAATTTTTAAAACATGGATACGACACCAACACGCCAACACGTCGATTTTCAAAAAATGTAGACACGCTTGAACGTGAAAGTGTTTGATGTTATGAACTTGATTTTTTTAAATCAAGACATGTTGAAGAAGTGTTAGACACACTTTTAAGAGTATCCAAACAAAGTGACATGCTTCCTCCATAGAATAGTTCGTGGTTCTTAGGATAAAGCTTATTACCTTTGATTAATGAGCTTCTGTAACCTTGAATCTGTCAAGTTGCGGAAATTTAATCTACCACGAAAAATAACATTTGCCTCGATAAAGTCTAAATCCAACCACCATCTTTGATCTTACATTTGTTGCGTTAGTATAATTGGCAAGTAGTTTATTTTCTCTGCAAACCCACAAGATTTTTCAAATACATAAATGTCATCAAATGTTCCGTGAGAACATATTTTGTTTAGATTTCATACCTAAAATCATCTTATGTCAATAGCTTGGCCAAATCATTGAACATGTCTTGATTAAAAGCCAAAAAAACTTTGAGTTCATTCACAAGGATTGCAGTGGTTGCAACATAATCACGCCTAAAAAATTCTAACAAATTCAAGTTGATGCAAAGATTAAAGCCATACATAAAGGGAAAAGGGAAAGCAACAACTCAAGAAAATTTAACAATATACCTATCCAAGGCCTCAAGGTACTTCTGTTTTCTCAATTTGAAAAAGATCTTCCTAGAATATTCGTTATCCTCCAATTTGGTGAAACCAGAAAGGTATTTTTATGACTTAGAAAATATGAGGAAGAAGAAATATATTTCTGTTATATTCAAAACTTCTTATCTTACAAGACCAAATGACACTCCTTATATAGGAGATATTACAAACATCATTATAACCCATTATATGCCACTTACATATTATATATTACCACTATCATATTATATACATGCCACTATCTACCACCAACACCACTATCATATGCCACTATCTTATTATATACATTAACACAAATTTCATCAATAATACAATTCTCTATTTCTCTTTATACATTAAATTTTCATATTCTATACATGCCACTATCCTTCACCAACACCACTATCATATTCTATACATGCCACTATCCTTCACCAACACCACTATCATATTCTATACATGCCACTATCCTTCACCAACACCACTATCATATTCTATACATGCCACTATCCTTCACCAACACCACTATCATATTCTATACATGCCACTATCCTTCACCAACACCACTATCATATTCTATACATGCCACTATCCTTCACCAACACCACTATCATATTCTATACATGCCACTATCCTTCACCAACACCACTATCATATTCTATACATGCCACTATCCTTCACCAACACCACTATCATATTCTATACATGCCACTATCCTTCACCAACACCACTATCATATTCTATACATGCCACTATCCTTCACCAACACCACTATCATATTCTATACATGCCACTATCCTTCACCAACACCACTATCATATTCTATACATGCCACTATCCTTCACCAACACCACTATCATATTCTATACATGCCACTATCCTTCACCAACACCACTATCATATTCTATACATGCCACTATCCTTCACCAACACCACTATCATATTCTATACATGCCACTATCCTTCACCAACACCACTATCATATTCTATACATGCCACTATCCTTCACCAACACCACTATCATATTCTATACATGCCACTATCCTTCACCAACACCACTATCATATTCTATACATGCCACTATCCTTCACCAACACCACTATCATATTCTATACATGCCACTATCCTTCACCAACACCACTATCATATTCTATACATGCCACTATCCTTCACCAACACCACTATCATATTCTATACATGCCACTATCCTTCACCAACACCACTATCATATTCTATACATGCCACTATCCTTCACCAACACCACTATCATATTCTATACATGCCACTATCCTTCACCAACACCACTATCATATTCTATACATGCCACTATCCTTCACCAACACCACTATCATATTCTATACATGCCACTATCCTTCACCAACACCACTATCATATTCTATACATGCCACTATCCTTCACCAACACCACTATCATATTCTATACATGCCACTATCCTTCACCAACACCACTATCATATTCTATACATGCCACTATCCTTCACCAACACCACTATCATATTCTATACATGCCACTATCCTTCACCAACACCACTATCATATTCTATACATGCCACTATCCTTCACCAACACCACTATCATATTCTATACATGCCACTATCCTTCACCAACACCACTATCATATTCTATACATGCCACTATCCTTCACCAACACCACTATCATATTCTATACATGCCACTATCCTTCACCAACACCACTATCATATTCTATACATGCCACTATCCTTCACCAACACCACTATCATATTCTATACATGCCACTATCCTTCACCAACACCACTATCATATTCTATACATGCCACTATCCTTCACCAACACCACTATCATATTCTATACATGCCACTATCCTTCACCAACACCACTATCATATTCTATACATGCCACTATCCTTCACCAACACCACTATCATATTCTATACATGCCACTATCCTTCACCAACACCACTATCATATTCTATACATGCCACTATCCTTCACCAACACCACTATCATATTCTATACATGCCACTATCCTTCACCAACACCACTATCATATTCTATACATGCCACTATCCTTCACCAACACCACTATCATATTCTATACATGCCACTATCCTTCACCAACACCACTATCATATTCTATACATGCCACTATCCTTCACCAACACCACTATCATATTCTATACATGCCACTATCCTTCACCAACACCACTATCATATTCTATACATGCCACTATCCTTCACCAACACCACTATCATATTCTATACATGCCACTATCCTTCACCAACACCACTATCATATTCTATACATGCCACTATCCTTCACCAACACCACTATCATATTCTATACATGCCACTATCCTTCACCAACACCACTATCATATTCTATACATGCCACTATCCTTCACCAACACCACTATCATATTCTATACATGCCACTATCCTTCACCAACACCACTATCATATTCTATACATGCCACTATCCTTCACCAACACCACTATCATATTCTATACATGCCACTATCCTTCACCAACACCACTATCATATTCTATACATGCCACTATCCTTCACCAACACCCCTATCATATTCTATACATGCCACTATCTACCACCAACACCACTATCATATTCTATACATACCACCAACACCACTATGTATCCCGACATGTAGATTGATGAAAAATCCCATTTTTTTTTCAAAAACTCACCCAACTGCTCATTGAAATATTTTGTTCCATTATCAGAATGTAAAATATCAATTTTGGTTTGAAATTGGTTTTCAATCATATTGTAAAAATTTGTGAATAAATTTTTCACGTCAGATTTTTTATTCATCAAATAAATCCAACATAAGCGGGTATGGTCATCAATAAATGTAACAAACCATCTTTTACCAGAAAGAGTAGTGATTTTAGAAGGGCCCCAAACATCACTATGAATCAAATAAAAAGGTTTTGAAGCCTGGTAAGGTTTTGGCAAATAAGTAGAGCGATGAAATTTTGCAAAAATGCAACTTTCACAATGAAAAGAAGAACAATCAATCCCTTTAAATAATTTTGGAAATAAATGTTTCAGATAAAGAAAACTAGGATGTCCTAGCCTATAGTGCCATAGCATTATTTTTTCTCGAACAGAGATTGAACTGGTACTATTAAAGCTCTGAGCTTTTTTATTACTAACAGGTACTTCATCAAAGTAGTAAAGACCTTCAAGCATCCTAGCACGCCCAATCATCATCCCCGAGTTCTTGTCCTGAAATTCACAATGGGATTCAAAAAATGTAACACGACAATTAGAATCCTTAGATAGTTTACTGACAGACAAAAGGTTACAGGCTAAGTTGGGGACGTGAAGAACAGCATTGAGATTAATTTTCTCAGTTAGTTTAATAAGTCCTTTTCCTGCAATAGGTGAAAAACTACCATCGGCTATTCTGATTTTGTCATGACCAGAACAAGGGAAATAGGTACTAAATAAATGGGAAAAACTAGTCATGTGATCGGAGGCACCGGAATCTATGATCCACGGAGAGAAGTTTAGGCAAGAGAAGGCTTTAGGATTTCTACCTGTTTGTGCCAACAAAACACTAGGAGTACCGGTTGAGGAGTTGGATTTTATCAGCTTTAAGAGTTGATCAATCTGCTCTTTGTTGAAGGGACTTGAATCGGCTTCATTAGCGGTAGGAAAGCCACGATTCTTCTCTCCTTGTTTGCTGCTTTTCCAGTTGACAGGTTTGCCATGGATCTTCCAACACGTTTCGCGTGTATGGCGAGGCTTGTTGCAAAAATCACACCAGACCCGTGGCTTATCATCAAACCTGCGCTGGTAATTTGCAGCCTTGTTGGCCGCAGCATTGCTAATTAAAGCAGAAATTTCAATTGATTCACCATTACCTTTTTTCTTAAGCATGACGCTCCTTCGGTTCTCTTCCCTTCTGACTTCGGCAAATACTTCGCCAATGGATGGGAGAGGAGGTCTGCCAATAATTCTTCCTCGCACTTCATCGAACTCAATGTTGAGGCCGGCAAGAAACTTGTAAATACGGTTGTCTTCCACAGTTTTCTTGTGGTGGTTGCAGTCGTCAACTGATTTCCATTCGTATGTGTTGAAGATGTCAAGATCCTGCCACAACCTTTTCAACGAATTGAAATATTTGGTGATGGAATCATCTCCTTGACGAATCTCTCCCAACTTCAAAGTTAATTCGAAAACTTGAGATTGATTTCCTAGGTCAGAATACATCTGACTAACATTATCCCACAATTCTTGTGCAGTAGTATAGCACATGTAATTAGAGCTTATATCCTCCTCCATGGAATTGACCAACCATGTCATAACCATGGAGTTTTCAGCGTCCCAATTGTCGAACAGCGGATCATTCACAGCAGGAGCCTTCTTGTCACCAGTGGTGTAACCGATCTTTCCTTGCCCACGGATATACATCTGGACAGATTGTGACCAGCGGAGAAAATTATCACCATTTAGGCGGATGGTGGTGATTTGGACAGAGTGAGAGTTGGACGTTTTCACCGGAATGGCAGCGGCAGGGGTTGAAGTGGTTTCGGACGTGACTTCCGACATGGCTATGACGGTTTTAGGGCTGCTGTGTTTTTTGTTGCTCTGATACCAACTTAGAAAATATGAGGAAGAAGAAATATATTTCTATTATATTCAAAACTTCTTATCTTACAAGACCAAATGACACTCCTTATATAGGAGATATTACAAACATCATCATAACCCATTATATGCCACTTACATATTATATATTACCACTATCTACCACTATCATATTATATACATGCGCCACTATCTGCCACCAACACCACTATCATATTCTATACATGCCACTATCTGCCACCAACACCACTATCATATTATATACATGCCACTATCTTATTATATACATTAACACAAATTTCCAGCATTATGTCTCATCCCAATTACCATCAAGTATCAGTTCCTTAAAATAGTTCATGTTAAATATGCAACTTGATTCACGCTCAAGCCTATCCAAGAAAATAGAACAAACTTTGATATAAACGGGACATTTTAAACAAGCAATATGTGAAATTTGAAAGGAAAAGATTAG